AAGGGGCGCAAGGCGTTCCGTTTTTGCTTTTGTACCCTCATTGGACCATTGAATACACAGTATATCATCTTTAGTATAAGATCTTTTGGAATCATCATCATTATCGTCATCACTGGTATCTTCTATATATCCAATTTCTGCTGTTAGTTCACCTACAGTGAATTCTGCCGTTGGAGACATCTTGATTTACGCATGTGAATAACATTGTTAATGATTTCCGCAGTGTGCTCCGTTTTTGCATTTCCCCCACCCCCCTGCCCTCCCCCCTCACCCACCCCCCCCTGGCCCGGGCACCCCTCCCCGCAATCGCATTGTACCGAAAGGTCCCTTTTACATATATATATATATATATATATATATATATATATACATACATATATACATATATATATATATTATATCCGTCTATCTATCTATCTATCTATATCATTAACCTGGCGTTCAGGGTCTCCCCTTTAAGATACTTGCAACCTTTAACAGAGGAGTGGAGGGATGGGGGCCAACCGTTTGGGGCTTTTAGGGTGTCGACAGTGTTGAGTTTAGGTTTGGGGTTTGGGTTTGGGGCTTCGGGTCTAAAGCTCAGGGCTTCGGGCTTAGGGGTCCAGGGTTGTCTCAGGTCAGTGCTCGAGGTACATCGCCACGACCGACTGCAAAGGCAAACAGCGCTCCCCACATGGTCATGCGTCAGCATTCTATGAAGGGGCTGCGTCAAGATTGACTCCCCCCTGCAGGTGCCCTTTATGAGCGGAGCCCTGATGCAAAAATCGAAGCCCTCACATAGGCGCACCGATCACTGCCAACTTCCTGCACACCTTGCTGTCCACTGTTAAAACTTGGCTTGGCTGCACTCAGGAGGGTAGCTATAAATTAAACTTTTAGCTGCCTTACTAAGAAACCCAATAAGCCCAAAAAGGCTAAAGATCTAAAGTTATAGTAAAGTACCACAAAGTTGGTTGACATCGAATGCATCGGCAAACCGCGTTACATCAGCTCTACCTGACGAAGTCCCAGAAACTCTTGGGCTGCACCGGCCCTGGCAGTGGAAACGGTGTCACAACAACCGACGCACAGCGCGCCACAGCCACCTCACACAAGCTGCACTAGACCTGGGTGCGGATTCTGGCGCCGTTGCCCTCAACCCTGCACCCGAAACTCCCTGTGTTCCTGAGTGGTGCGGTGCATCTGTGGACTCTGGCTTCGGGCTTGTGCTGAACTTCAGGGAGGGTCTGGGATTTAGGGTTTAGGGCTCCCAAGCACATACTCTAGGGCTGTTCTCAATCAGGGTCCCCCCCCCTGTAAGGGGAGCCTTTCGAGTGACGGATTCTCTTAGAGAGGTGCTTTTTGTACTTTCCCCACAATCTAGTCCCTAAACCCTAAACCCTAAACCCTAAACCCTAAACCCCCGAAATCTAATCCCGACGGCCCGCCTCGAGGACGATCACCCCGCAGGCAACGGCCACGCGCTGCCAGGGGCTTAGGGTTTAGGAACTAGGTTTTAGGGTTTGGGTTTATAGGGTTTAGGGTTTAGGATTTAGGGTTTAGGGTATATAGGGTGTAGGGCTCTCTTGGAGAAAGTCTCAGTCGCAGGCTCAGGGGTTTGGGGTATTGCTTGGTTCAGAGGATCTGGGGATTCAGACTTGAGTTTCAAGAGGGGTTGAGGGTTTAGGGTTTAGGGTTTAGGATTTAGGGTTTAGGGTTTAGGGTTTAGCGTTTAGGGTTTAGGGTTTAGGGTGACTCAAGAAAAACTGAAAATCCATCTTGGTTGCAACTCAAGCGCTACACCAGCGTTGCAGATCCAAACAAGTCCCAGGTCAGGCATCATTCAGGGCTACTTGATCCTTGTTGGGTGTGTGTGCGCGTGGGGGGAGGGCAGGTGTAGCTAGGATGGAGGCAGTATAGGCCTACTACTTCAGACGTAAACCCCAAACCCAGGCTGGACAAAGCGCCACAGGCATCCCTATTCCCAAACCCTAAACCCTAAACCCTAAACCCTGAACCCTGAACCCTAAACCCTAAACCCTAAACCTGAACCCTAAACCCTATTCCCTGAGCCCTGAAAACTTGGTCTCAATCACTGGGCCGGAGGGGCTGCGAAGGGGATGTCCGCGGAGATCGATTCTCCCGCAGGAACCTCGGAGCTCTCGCAATATAGGGTTTAGGGTTTAGGGTTTAGGGTTTAGGGTTTAGGGTTTAGGGTTTAGGGTTTAGGGTTTAGGGTTCAGGGACTAGGGTTTAGGGTTTAGGGTTTCGGGTTCAGGGTGTAGGGTGTTGGCCTTCATCTCCTCTCAGCAACCCACGGTGGCCCCCAACTGCCGGCAGGGCCGCCCTGGAAATTAAGTTGGAAGCTCTGAGGAGCCCAGTAACTTGGGTTTAGGGTTTAAGGTTTAGAAGGGTTTAGGGTTTATAAGGGCTAAGGGTTTAGGGTTTAGGGGGGTTTAGGGGGTTTGGGGGGTTTAGGGGGTTTAGGGGGTTTAGGGGGTTTAGGGGGTTTAGGGGGTTTAGGGGGTTTAGGGGGTTTAGGGGGTTTAGGAGGTTTAGGGTTTAGGGTTTAGGGTTGGGATGTTCCCCTTATACTAACAGTCCTCAACAGGGATAAGAGTCCCCCCCCCCCCAATCCCTATTCAGGCCTTCAGGACTGGTTAGCTAGCATCAGGGGGAACATCCCAACCAGCAACCAGTTTGGAATCAGGGTACCCTTTCTTTGGGGTTGGTTACTGTACAAGGGAACCCAGAACCAACAAAAAAAGGGTAGTGGGTACCACTGGGCTGCCAAGATTTTTAGGGCTTGGGGGTTCCACAGTGACTGCGCATCTCTGAGTCTGGAGCAACATCACCGTTGTCCATGATGCCGCTGGAGGCGGCACACGCGTGGCCAAGGCTTGCAGCGGCAGGTGTCTAAGCCAGCTCGGATGCTCAATTGATAAAGTTTCGGCCTTGGTTCGTTCTTGGCACGGGCGTTTACTACCAACGCCACCAAACTAAGCCTCACACTCCCAACAGGTGCCTGTATCAGAAGGTAGGGCTTAAACAAACCCTGAACCCTAAAGCCTAAACCCTGAACCCCAAAGCTTAAAACTCCTGCCTCCAGCGCTTGCTGTGAGCCAAGCTCTGTCAGAAGCAGAAAAGGGTCCATGGATGAGCGAAATCTAAGATAGGGGCCTTTGTAATTATGATAGGTTTTGGGGGTATATTACATCCTCCCCCGATTTGGGGGCTTAAAAAGTGTGGGCTCAGGGTTTACTAGGACGGCCTTAAAGCCCTCTGAAAAACAATTCCTGAATAGGATCCTCTTAAACCCAATAATGGAGAGTACAAAATGTCCCAAAAAGGGTCTACCTGAGCGTTTTACGAAAATAGGGGGCCCCCACTTTAGATCCCCAAATAGTAGGATCCCCTTACAATAGGGGCCCCAAGAAGGTACCCCCCCATTTTCGCAAACCCCCACCTAGCTTAGCATGAGGCTTAGGGTCTTTTGGCGCTTAGGAGCTCCGGGTGCAGATGAACGACACCTGCGGAAAAGACGGCTAGCTCGGCCCTCAGCTGCTCGTAGAAGCACTCAAAAGGTAGCTTCCATATGGTCCCTTCTGAATATCCCTAAACCCTAAATCCTAAACCCGAAACCCTAAACCCGAAAAGCTGAAGCTGATTTCCACAAGCTAGGGATCCAGGATGTCGGATCTCAGCAGGACGTGCGCTTTATCGCGATAAAATTCTACACATCTCCCTGACCCAACCCTGAAACCCTAAACCCAAAATCCTAAACCCTAAAACCCTAAACCCTAAACCCTGAACCCTGAACCCTTAAACCCAAAACCCTAATCGCCCAAATCCTCAACGGGCCTGGGATGGCATCCCTAACGCATTTGGTATGCTGCCTGCAGAGTGAGGACACCTAGGAAATCTGGCGCCACTGCGTCTTGAACGCTGTGGGGGTCTACATGGTCACAGCCTCAGGCCATTTCGGACTGACTTGGCTCCACGGCACAATCATGCTGCGTAATTCGCAGCGGCTGTCAGCCTAACGTACTAGGGTTTAGAACTTGGGGTAGTATGGAAGCGGCCAGTTTCGGCACGAAACGCTGCAGGAAATCTTTCCCCACAGAAAAAACTGGAGACGAACTGCTGGCTTCACCAGCCAGTGCCTTTTTAATGCTACTGGCCCCATGAAACCCGGACAGGATTCGGGGCTTAAGGTATATGAAGTAGGGTTTATATTTCTTGTACCATTTTAAAAAGGAACCTTATATACACTCACCAATAACAGTAATATAAACCCTACTTCATATAGGGTTTGGGTCTACAGCGTAAGGGTTAAGGTCTGGGGCAGTTACTGTCGGGACGATGTTGGAAATCCCAAGCATCTCAAGCGACCCTTGGCTGAAACTGCGCGTGCTCAATATGTGAGATATTGTTGAGTTGAGACTTGGGAGGTTTCAAGGCATTCTGCGGCAGCCGGGTTTAGACTTTTGTGGTTTCTTCTGCCGACCTTGATCTCATGGGCTCACCCCATCTCAGCACAGCTTCTGCCAGTCGCGTCCTGACAGATGGAAGTCGAATAACGCACAGAAATTCGACAAAAGGATCGGCGCCAATGGCATTGCAGAGTTGACGCTCAACAATGCCGATGGTTATGGTCGCCTGCATTCCAGGCATCAGCGTGTCTGCAATGACTGAGTTATCTTCACTTTACAAAGGTACCTGCTCCTCGTAGCAGATTTGTTCTCAAAGGTTGCACTACAGCCAATCCTGAACCCTGAAGCCTGAACCCTAAAACCAAGACCCTGCACCATGCGGACAGCTTCCCCTCTCAAGTTCAAGCATAATGAGCTAGCTTAACCTCTCAACCCTAAACCCCAAAGCCCCTGAACCCCTACACACCTTGAAAGCAAGTAAACCCCAAAGCCAAAGGCGCGCTCACACACACGCACATACATATATACACACACACACAACAAAAAACACAACAAAAAGCACGGCCCTCGCAAGCCCCCGGCGGTGCCTTAAAAGGAGGCAGGCGCCACAATTTGCCTTTCACAGCGCAGCATGTCATGGTGCCATGAAACTGCAAAGTTATTGGGTTTCATGTTTTCCTTTCACTGGCAAATCTTCAGGGAGCAAGGCTCCAAAAGATAGAGCTTTCAAATCCGACACCCCAACTGGCTGCAATTTTCGAGCGCTGTGGACGTTGCAGTGCAGAGATCGCACTAGCTAGGTCGCAGAGTACCCCACGGTGCCCTAAACCCTAAACCCTAAACCCTGAACCCTGAACCCTAAACCACACCATATCCTAAACCCTAAACCCTGAACCCTAGACACTAAACCGTAGCCTATCTCGGGTTTAGGGCTTCGGGTCGGGGATCACGAAGGGCTTACCTGTAGGGTCTCGATGTGTGGGCTGGTTGGTGGCTTTTGGGTTTTGGGTGGGGTTTGGGGTTTGGGGTTTGGGGTTTGGGGTTTGGGGTTTGGGGTTTGGGGTTTGGGGTTTGGGGTTTGGGGTTTGGGGTTTGGGGCTTAGGGCTTAGGGCTTAGGGCTTAGGGCTTAGGGCTTAGGGCTTAGGGTGTAGGGTTTAGGGTTTAGTGGCTCCCCAGGCATGTCCCGTGCTCAACTCCATGGCCGCACCACGTAAGCCAAATCTGACGAAAACCTCTCAGACTGCCGGACACCGAAAGAACCGTCCTAAATCTAAAACGCAACAAGCGAGCCCCTGATAACCCCTCTCAGATGCAAAGTTCTAAACTCTCAAACCTCAACCCTCAACCCTCAACCCTGATCTATCCTGCCAGCCACGGCCTGCCTCAGAAGCCGATGATCCTGATCCACTTCGCACACCTCCTTTCCGAAAGTTTTGCACGGTTTGCACCCGAGGGCTGCACCCGAAAACCCAACCTAAGCAGGGCTGCAAGCCCGAAACCCTAAACCCTAACCCTAAACCCTTAAACCCCTAAACCCTAAACCCCTAAACCTAAAGCCCTAAACCCTAAACCTTTGTAGCTACTGGCACACGGGAACCTTCAGGCATTTTTTCGTTTCAACTCTCAGCGTCATTGAAGGGTTTAGGGGCCGGCGAACCTAACCCTAAACCCTAAACCCCAAACCCCAAACCCTAAACTCTAAACCCTAAACCCTAAACCCTAAACCCTAAACCCTAAACCCTACTCTGGGTCCATAGGAGGAGGGGGTTTCGTGTTGTGGCCCAAGCCATCCCATCCTCAGCCTATTGTTGTGTTGTTCGGGGTTGAGGTTCGGGATTTAGGGTTTAGGGTTTAGGGTTTAGGGTTTAGGGTTTAGGGTTTAGGGTTTAGGGTTTAGGGTTTAGGGTTTAGGGTTTACGGTTTACGGTTTAGGGTGTAGGGTGTAGGGTTTAGGGTTTAGGGTTTAGGGGCTTAAAATCAGTGGCCATGACGTGGGTATATAGCGACTCTGGTCCACCCTAAGCCTAAACCCCAAAAACCTAAACCGAAAACGGGCCGCCGCAAAAAGAAGAAGGCTCCTTAAACCTCAACCCTGAACCCCAAACCCCCCCCCCCCCCATACCTGAACCAAAAATCCTACAAAGTGAGGCAAGACCGCAAGAGTACCGTGTTTCCTGATACACCCAAAAAAGTCTCAAAGAAAACGCGCTCAACACCCTAAAAAGGCCGCCTCCTGGCCGTCGGGTCTCCTGCCTGATGCATGGGCTTAGGCTAGGGTTCCAGGGTTCCAGGGTTTCAGGGTTTCACGGTGTCAGGGTTTCAAGGTTTCAAGGTTTCAGGGTTTCAGGGCAGGGCTTCGGGGTTTCGGGGTTTCAGGGTTTCGGGTTTGGCACTGGGCCTTCTGGCGAACCCTGAACCGTGTAGGGGTCCACGACCTACTCATGTGCGGGCATGCGCGGGTATGCCTTTGGAGATCCCGGACTGTCTCCTCTCCACCGATTTAAGGCTCAGGGTTTAGGATTTAGGGGTATTCGGGTTAGGCCACCGATTTAAGGCTCAGGGTTTAGGATTTAGGGGTATTAGGGTTAGGGTTTCGGTGTTTTCTTGGAATCTTTGAAACCCCAAGCACAAAAATCACAGAACCCAGGCTCACAGATCCCCGTGCAACACACAGAAAGTGCGGACCGCCTCCACGAGGAACGAGTCGGCCAGCAAGGAAGACCTTCAAGTCACACTTAGGACTTAGGGGTTTAGGGTTTAGGGTTTAGGGTTTAGGGGTTAGGGGTTCAGGGTTCAGGGTTCAGGGTTTAGGGTTTAGGGTTTAGGGTTTAGGGTTTAGGGTTTAGGGTTTAGGGGTTTAGGGTTTACTGCTGCTTCGCTTCGTCGATTAAGGCTTCCGTCTTTTTTGTTGTCCTTAGACCATGACCCGACTCCCCCAGCACTGACAGTTGACCGACAATCCCAAAGAGTGCCATCCTACGATGACATCATCCCTGAAACCAGCCCACTGCCGGCCAGAACCGTTCACTGGAAGGGCTCGGGCAAGACCCAGAGGAAGCTCAAGGAACAAGATTTCGGCTTCGGGTTGGCTCACCCGGGAGCTCGTTGCAGCGTTACAACCGAATGAACTTGCGACTCGTGACAACGGTGGTGTGCTTAGAGCGGCAACCTTCGGAGGTATCATGTTTAGGGTTTAGGGTTTAGGGTTTAGGGTTTAGGGTTTAGGGTTTAGGGTTTAGGGTTTAGGGTTTAGATGCCAGGAATGGTGTTGTCCCTTGACGGCTACTTGCAGTTAGCCTGGTAGCGTGCTCTGTGCATCTGGGATCTTCTCCGCCGTGGTCTGGTTGCCTCAAGTCCCTTTCTCGACGGATGTGCCACAACAACAATATGTGAATGCAACGAGCCTGCGGGGTCTGCTCAAGCTTGCTCTATGCAAGAATTTGCATGCCAGACGTGGTCTTGCCAACAGGCAGAACCCTACAATGACCAGAAGCATTCTGTAGAGGCCTAAATAATTAGCACAGGGTTGTGGGGGTTATGATCGTACATTTATATAGGGGCCATAAGGGAATACTATCAGTAATGATTCCGACCCCTGTATTACTCTCTGCTGCAGTTTCCCCAAAAAAGCAGAGATCGGCTCCAATTATGGGGACTAAACGGTATTTGGGGAGATGAGCGGGGTCCGCAAATTTGTGGAATCTCCTGGTGCTGAAAGATGGACGACATTCTGTGACCTCCTACAAGGGCGTGTCCCGAAATAGGGGTCCCTCCCGATATGGCCCCCAACATACTCCTATCCTTATTGTAGGAGCCCCCAGAAACCATTTCCAAAATTTTTACAAAGCCTTAAAACCCAAAAACCCGAAAGACTTCATGTCCCAATGTTTTAACCCTTAAGACCCTAAGCCCTAAGGCTCCAGGGGCAGCCTTCTCGTCCGCGCAGCGGAGCATCGTCCAGTTGGCTCCGGCCACTATCTGTGCCCAAAGGTTTAGTGTTTACCCTAAACCCTAAACCCTAAACCCTACGCCTCAAGCCCTAAAAACCTTCATTGGGCTTAGGGGCCCAGGTTTGGGGCTTTAGGGGTTTATGGTTTGGGGGTTCGAGTTGGGGGCTTTAGGGTTCAAGCCTTTGGGCTTTTATGGCTTGAGGTCTTGGGGTTCAGGGTTTTGTGCCTCAGAGGTTTCGGGTAGCGGTTCAGGGTTTAGGGCAGTTTTGGCGTTTGGGTTCCAAGGCTGGTTTCGGTTCGGGCAGGCCTTACAAATAAAAGGCTTCCAGGCACAGGTTTGAGGTCTCAAGGTCCCAGGGGCCTTGAAAAAGAGGCGTTGAAGCATCAGGCTGGGTGCACCCTCACAACTTTGTGAAGTGGCAGCATGATCTAAGGGCTTACTTTTAGGTTCAAGGGTAGTTGTAAGTAGGGCTGTACGTACCCTAATAAGGTTATGAGTAGAGTTACCCCACTCGTAGCCCCACTTCTGACTACCCATGAACTAAGGCGGCAGGGAAGTCTCAAGGCAAGCCCTAAACCCTAAACACGATCAGGGGCCTCCCGAACGTCGGCCAGGGGTCGGATGAGCGTCGGCAGCCGATAGTTGCGGCAACCTGCCCGGCTGGGTCTGCAGGCAAGGGGTTTTAGTGGTTTCTATTCAGGGTTTGGGGCCACGTCGTTGATGGAACGGGTTTGATGAGTTCCGTTGTGCACATGCGCGTGGCTTGAGGGCCTCAGACTTAGAATTAGGACAGCTGCTGTTGAGGAACTCGGTGCTGCAACAAGCCGCCAAAGGTTTCCGCCAGCTGACAACGCAATCCCTTGAAGTTGCTGCCACAGGCCTCCCATGCAGAGCTGGCCTTGTTCGCCTGGGAGAAGAGAACTAAAGTAACACAAATGATGAGGAGCGTACGATGTAGAATAGAATGTGTTTTGCTGTGTATATGAAGACATATACATCATATATATATATATACATATATATGTACATATATATATATACATGCATGTACGTACACGATACATACATAGGTTTCAAGGTGTGCATAGATATACATATAGATGTAGAGAAAGATATAGCCTGTAGAAATAGGGAATAGGCAATAGGTAAAAAGTAAGAGGTAATATGTGATAGGTAAAAGGCAACAGGTAGCAGGTAATTGGTAAAAGATACTAGATATTACAGGTAGGTAAAAAGACTGGCACATTAACTCTTCGATACTTTGGTATGTTTGAAGAATCTACATTGCAAGATGTCATCGCCGACTCCCTTCAGGGGGGGTGCCAGTGAAACCGCTCGCACCGCCTCTACCGCCCCAAGAGATCCACGGATGACACGGCCCCCGCCAGCTCGTGACGCTTAGCCCGCCCAGCTTCTGGCCGCTCACAGCACCCCCACCGCCCAGCTTCGGCCTAACACGCCCGTCTACAGCAAACTCGAGACCCTGAACCCTGAACCCTGAACCCTAAACCCTAAACCCTCAACCCTAAACCCTAAACCCTAAACCCCTTGGGCCAGGCCACCACTGCCGAAGGCCAGGACCTGGCCCATCTCGGTCAGGCAGACCGTGTGGTCGTCTCCGCAGGCCACCTGGTCAACCCCGCGCTCTACTTGCAGGTTCATGGGCAGTTATAAGTGTGGGTTTAGGGTTTCGGGTTTAGGGTTTAAGGCCTAGGGTTTTGTGTTTAGGGTTTAGGGTTTAGGGCTACTTGGAGGTGCATGGGGAGTCAACGTGGTTTTGCAAGTAGGGAACTCTACTTGTAGCCTTACTTAGAGTACTTATAACCCTACTTATAACTACCCTTGAACCTCCTAGTAGGGGTCGATTGTTGATTAGGGTTTATGGGGTTTAGGTGCTTGGGTAAAGCGTACCGACGTCTGTTGCGGCTAACATGAAACGAGAACGGCGTGCACGTTCAATGACTGATATGTGTTCTGGGTAGTTCCTAACTAGCAGCGTATAAGGATTTTATGGGGATGGTGTTGATACAGGGGCTCGGGAAAGTCGACCCTTTTATTGGGGGAGACGTGAAACCCCAATGAACGCAGAGGGTTCAGGAAGTTGACGAAGTCGACCGCGGGATCCTTTCCCCCCAATGAACGCATGGATTTTACAGCTACGAAAAGCAGCGAAAATCAGTACGCAAGTATCGAAATCCCCAAGGAACGCAGGGGCTCAACATGCCTGAAAAATCATCCAACATGGTCGCTGAAGCACCTCCGCCCGAGTGGAACGCAAGCAAAGCATGGAGTCAAGCCTACCAAAACTTGCGAAGAAGAGTCAATCATTTCTCTGAGCCTATATCACATCGTATAGCCAACATGGCTTACGACATGCATGCGTAGAATTGTGGACAATTCTGCCCGAGGGAAACGCAGTTTCGGTCGACTTCCTGAACAGCTTCCCCGCAGTGATTTGCCTTACCGCAAGAAAAAAGGTCAACTTTCCATGTTGCGTGTACTTATGTAGGCTCCTGTATCTCTTCGTAAAGATGCCATTTCAGAACTCCAAGAAGAGTTATCAATAGTAGCATGGGGTACTAAGTGGAGGGCTCTACTGTACGCCGTAGCGGAGTTTAAGGCGTTGGTGCCCGAGGGTCGTCGGGCCCCCCTAAACCCTAAACCCGAAACCCTAAACCCTAAGCCCTAAAACCCTAAGGCCACATTCTTCTGAACATCCTGCTTGTTGTGAATGTTGCTGTTATCATTGTTTTTTGTCGGCTTCTTCATGTTGCTTCGGCTTCTGCTTCCGTTTCCACTTCTTGTTCTTTCTCTTCTTTGTCTTCGTGAGCAGGAGGGGAGCGGTCAGGGCTTTGGGAATCATTGGTCAGCCGTGTTGCCACGACACCTTCGACAGTAAACCCTCAGCCACCAATCCCCTAAACCCTAAACCCTAAACCCTAAACCCTAAACCCTAACCCCTAAGCCCTAAGCCCTAAGCCCTAAGCCCTAAACCCAATCCCCTAAATCCTGAAAAAACCCATCCGTCCTGCACCACCCTCTCTTCGACGGTGCCGACTAAATCCAGCTCCGCAGGCTTCCAGCCTCTGGAGGCTCTGGTTGTGACACAGTAGGGTTTAGGGTTTAGGGTTTAGGGTTCAGGGTTTAGGGTTGTGTACCTTATGAAGGAGTATAAACACAGTTTACTCTAGAACCATACTTACGTGTACCCTTGCATCCTAAACCTCAAGCCCAAACCCTTGAAGGGATTTCGGTCACGGTGTTAAGGCTTTATCGGATCTCTGCCCACGGGTACAAAGGGTTTAGGGATGCTCTAGTAGGGCCTTAAAGTCCAACGCGTGCAGCACAGTTTGGACAGTCAGCCGTTTGTTCGTGCTTAGTGCGATGTGTCCGCGTGCTTGATTCTTATGGGCTGGCATGCGCACGCACAAACAATTGGATTCACGACAAGCTCATGCCGGTTCCCTTGGCACAAAGTCACCCAAACAAGGGCCACGTCCCTACACAACTCCCCAAAACCACCTGCGAGGCAACCCAAGCCAAAGGCCGAAGGAAAAGGAAAGCGGGAACAGGTGTTGGGGTGTTCAGCCATGAGGAGCTGTTTTGAAAAACTTTGGTTCGCAGCGCAGCCACTTTGCCCTGCCCTACCACCAATTGCCATCGGGTGGTTTCCGAAATTAGGGGTACCTTACTAGGTACTGTTTGGGTTCATTGTAGGGGTCCCTCTATTTTCGTAAACAAGATGAGCCCGTATGGCGTGACGCATCTACGGTGCACGTGGGCCACATGGGTAATGCATGTAAGCCCCCCGCACCCCCAAAGCCATAAACCCTGCAACCCTGAAACCCGAAGCCCGCAAAGCCTACACCCCAGAAACCCTAAACCCCAAACTCCAAAGACCTAAAATCCTAAGACCCTAAACCATAAACCTTCCCAAAACCCCCAAAACCCTATCCCCTCGAACCCTAAATCTCCTCAAGCCTTAGCAGGAGCCAAAAACCCTGGAACCCTAAAAGCCCCCCAACCCCAAACCTTTCAGGATTTTTCTCCCTAAACCCTAAACCCATAAAGCCTGAAACCCTAAAATCCCAAAACCTTAAAGGAGCCTGGTAGTAGCCCTAAACCCTGACTAAACCTTAAACCCTAAAACCCCAAAACCTGGCCCTAAACCCTAAACCCTAAACTCTAAAACCCTTCAAGGAGCCTTCTCCAGGAGCTGCCGCTCGCCCCAGCTGCCCTGAGAGACCGTCGCCGAAGGTCACAAGGCGGCCTGGGTTCTGTGGCTCTTTGAGCCAGATTTGTGGTTTTTTTATTGGATTATATATATATATATATATATACATATATATAGGTTTGGTTTTGCAGGGTTTTTTTGTTAAGGGGCGTTAAGGGTTCTTAGGGGTTTATCGGGTTTTTAGGGCTTTTGGGGTCTGGCTTCTGTCATTGAGCCATGGATTTCTTAGGGGTTTTTTGTAGGGCCTTTGTAGGGTTGCTGAAGGGTTCATTGGGGGTTTATCGGGCTTTTAGGGGTTATTAGGGGTTTAGGGCTTTTAGGGTTGTTAGCGGTTTTCGGGTCTTGCGAAGATGCAGCTCTTTCGTTTTTTTTTTGCGTCCGGCTCGAGCCCTAAAACCTCAAGGTTTAGGGTTTAGGGTTAGGGTTTAGGATTTCGGGCTTCGGGTTTCGGGTTTCGGGTTTGGGTTTCGGGTTTAGGGTTAGGGGTTTAGGGTTTCGGGTTTCGGGTTTAGGGTTTAGGGTTTCGGGTTTCGGGTTTAGGGTTTAGGGTTTAGGGTTTAGGGTTTAGGGTTGAGGTCAGAACCCCCGAAGCTCTATGAGATCTCCAGAAAAACCCCGGTTCAAAAAGCTTGCTGAAAGCCAAGCAAATCTCACAAGCCTGTAAGACTCCAAAGCCCCAAAACCCTGAACTCACAGCAAACGAAATTGAAAGAGGGAAGTTTGCGGCTCAGGATGCGGAAGCCTGAACATGTTCCTGCGTTTAGGGTTTATGGTTTAGGGTTTAGGGTTTAGGGTTTAGGGTTTAGGGTTTGGTTCGGGGTATGGACTCTAGGGTTTAGGGCGGGGATTGCAGAAGGAGTCTACTGCCGAGGAACGGCTTAGAGCTACTTACTCGACTGCTACGCTCTTGCGTTGCAGCCTTTGTGGTGTGGGAATCGGCCTAGGGCTTTGGGGTGCAAGACGTATAGGGCTTGGGGTTGAGGTTTTCAGGAAACCTTGGGCCACAATCCTAAACAACCCGATAAACCCCAAATCCCTAAGTCGAGCTTAGTTGAAAGTATCTCCAAGCGGGGCTTTGACATGATGCTCGCCCGAAACTGAAAGGGCTCCCGCGCGCTGTGCACACTTGAGGGGGTTCGGGGTTCGGCCTTGGTATCTGGGCGCGCATGTCCTTTAATAAAAGGTTTAGGGTTTAGGCTTCAGGATTAAGGGTTCAGGGTTTAGAGCTTAGGGTTAGGGTTTAGGGCTTAGGATTGAAGATTTCGTTGAGGACGGTTCGGCGAGAGCTTGGCGTTTGTTTTCGGCCGAGCGCGCGGCCGCAGGAGCTGAGCACTGCAGTGTGGTACCTCCAACTTGGAGGCTCACAGGTTTGTTTCCCCTTATTGGGCTCAGGGTTTAGGGTTCAGGGTTGAGGGTTGAGGGTTTGGGGCTCATAGGTTGGGATGTTCCCCGTTAGACTAACAGTCCTCAACAGGGATTATAATAGGGGGGGGGGGGGGGGGGGGGGGGTACTATAGTCCCCATTAAGGGCTGTTAGTATAATGGGGAACATCCCAATTCATAGGGCTCATAGGGAGAAGATGCCCAATGAGCTGAAAATCGCATTTCGATGGGAGTCCTGTCCAAAACCCTCTACCGAAAGTCTGTACATCCAGCTTCAATCTGCCAGGCGAATTCGCCTTTGAACCGTGAGCCCTAACACGGCCCAAAACCCTAAACTCCCAGCAAATCTCGTCAAGTAGATCGCAACCTTACAGAAAGGTGGCAATGCTGCCAAATCTGTGTACGGAGAACTTGCAGCCGACCAACGAGAGCTCCAAAGAAACGGCCTTTCTTGCTCTTCTACTCACGAAAAGCGTTGCGAACCTAACCAGCCCTGTAGATACGACCATTAGCAGAACATTCTTGAACGTATTTAACCCCAAACCCTAAACCCTGCACCTTAAACCCTAAACCCCAAATCCTAAACCCCAAACCCCAAACCCCAAACCCAAACCCCAAACCCTAACCCCCAAAGCCTAAACCCTGAACCCTAAACCCCAAACCCCAAACCCTAAACCATAAATCCCTAAACCCCAAACCCCAAACACTAAACCCCAAACCCCAAACCCCAAACCCCAAACCCTAAACCCCAAACCCTAAACCCTAAACCCCACCTGCCGCAGGCAGCCCTTCGCGCATCGAGCGCGGCCAGGGCGAACTCCGCGCGGGCGGGGCTGGGCACCAAGTGCGGTGCCTGAGGGATGGCTTCTTGGTGGTCTGTAGGGTTTAGGGTTTAGGGTTTAGGGTTTAGGGTTTAGGGTTTAGGATTTGGGGTTTAGGGTTTAGGGTCTAGGGTCTAGGGTTTAGGGTTTAGGGTTTAGGGTTTAGGGTTTAGGGTTTAGGGTTTAGGGTGTCGGAGTTTAGGAGCTTCCAGTGTAACTACTTATAAAGTAGCTTTGAAGGCTTTGGATGTAGGGTTTGGGGCTTGGGGTCTGCGTTGTGTGGGAGACATGAGCTTGCAAGGAGGGCAGCAGCACCAAATCAGAAGCACCACTGGTCCTAGAACCCCTTTAAAGAAGTAGAACCGATAAGGGCCCTCCTGAGATTCACCCAACGAAAACTTCAAAAAGAATGGCGGCTGCTGTGCGAAGTTCCGTCTCAAAGCTGCCTGCCATGCTGAAGAGGCCCCCTAAGCCCTAAACCCCAAACAACCTCTACACACCCCTGATCACCAGAAGCCCGACCCCTTCAACCCTCGAAAGGCCCCCCATCAACGATCTGAACCGTGTGTGGTTCGGGCTCGGGCAGCCTTCAGGGTGGCTGAGGGAGTGAGGCAAAGAAACCCCCAAACCCCTAAAGCCGGAGTGCCTCACTGTTCCGGTGCCGGGACCCTCGCGCCTCACCTTTGGGGACAGCTCATCCGCCGTGTTTACGTTTGGGGCTGCTTCGGGCTCTGGGCCAGAAACTTGGAAGAGCAAACAGGGGGGCGAAAGGGCTGTAGATGGTTGTAGGTTTAGGGTTTAGGGTTTAGGGTTTGGGGTGGGAACGATTAGGGGTTTCGGGTTTGTTCCAAGGTCCACGAAAGAAGCCCACCTGCCTTCGCCTCCCCGACCCTACAAGCCCCGCTGCAGAGCCTGAAAGGTTTAGGGTGTAGGGCTAAGGGTTCGGGCTTGGGGTTTAGGGTTTGGGGTGTAGGGCTTAGGGTTTAGGGTTTAGCTCTGCATTGCACGTGGCTATGTGGATATGACAGCACAAGTTATTGCATCACCGCATCACCCTCGGTAAGGCCCCAGGCAGCCAACTCTATGAGTCCTGACCAACCCTGTAAGCTCCCAAACCCAGCCTGACGTCACAGGATCTCGCGCACACTGGCCGTGGACATTCTCACCCCAAAGGTACCTGAAGCTCCAAGAGAAAGCCGGCACACTAATATGTAATATGGGTTTGGAGTGGAAGGGTCTGGCAGGTTAGGGAAAACACCTTTTTTCAAGAGCTGCAGGGAATCGACCCGAAACGTCCCAAATCCCGATTCATTCTGTGCCAACCCAAGACCCAAGACCCAAACGCTGAAATCTAGACCCTCGACCCCGCACAAATCCTCAAACCTCACTTGGAGGTTCACGGGTAGTTCTACGTGGGGTCACAAGTCGGGTAACTATACCTCGAACTGGATATTAACCATACTTATACCAGTACGTAGCCCAAGGAACCCTAAACCCTAAACCCTAAACCTCACAAGCTCTTTTGGGATGGGAAGCACAGCACCAGAGATGGCGGCCAAGGTGCGTGTCACCAAGTCGGCAAACAGCAGCGACGTGGCTGTCCTTATAGGAGTTTTTGGGCTCAGGGTTTTAGGGCTCAGGGTTTTTGGGGGGCTGGGAGCTTGAGGGTTTGGGGCTTGGTGCTGAGGGATGTAAATTCTAGGAACAGTTTAGGGCTTATTCATGCATAAGGATGTTGAGTAGTTTGGGGCTTGGGGGGTGTCTCTAGGGATTCGGCTGTGGGTTTAGGGCTGTGGGGGCTTCAGGATTTTTGGGATGATGGGGCTTGGAGCTTTGATGTTTCATGAGGTTCTGGGAGTCCCGGATGTCCTGAACCTCTAAAAGTTTAGGGTTTTGGGGTTTAGGGTCTAGGGTTTAGTAGTTAGGGTTTAGGGTTTAGGGTTTAGGGTTTAGGGTTTAGGGTTTAGGGTTTAGGGTTTAGGGTTTAGGGTTTAGGGGGTAGGGTTTAGCGTTTAGGGTTTAGGGTTTAGGGTTTAGGGTTTAGGGTTTAGGGTTTAGGGTTTAGGGTTTAGGGTTTTAGGGTTTAGGGTTTAGGGTTTAGGGTTTAGGGTTTAGGGTTTCTTCTTCTGATTGATGCTGGGCCGCGCGCTTAGACGGGAGGGTTTAGGGTTTAGGGTTTAGGGTTGCATTTAGGGTCCCGATCTGCTCTTCCACCTTCTCTACCACCGGAGGCCAAGAATCCCCGGCTGCGACGTCCTCCATGCCGGAGATGGGCACCTGCGGCCCTAAACCTCTAAGGGTTCTACCTTGGACCCTTAAGGTTGTACCCTTGGGTTTTGGGGCCCCGTTTTAAGGATCCCTCAGGGAATATAAGGGCCATATTAGGAGTATATTCAGGGGAACCTTTAGGGGTGCAACCTTAGGGGTACGAGTCTTCATTCCTTGAAAACCCGAAACCCTAAACCCTAAACCCTGATTCCGGTGCCCTTTAAGGGTCATCGCCCGCTTTAGGTTCAGAGCTGAAAGCTGCCCCAGCAACCTTCAAAGCATGACGGCCCTTTCATTTTTTTTTTTGGGGGGGGGGGGGGGGTTAGTGGGACTGATATAAACGCGCCTCACACTGACAAAAACAGGGGAAAAGAGTTCCAAGAGGGGCTCAAGGGTTTGGGAGTGTAGTTGGGCTTATTGGGTCTCTGGAGAGATGAGGGTTTTGGTTTAGGGTTTGGGGTTTGGGGTTTAGGGTTTGGGGTTTAGGGTTTAGGGCTTAGGGCTTAGGGCTTAGGGTTTCAGTTTTAGGGTTTAGGGTGAAGGAAAGTCGGTGTGACGGGGGGGGGGGGGGGGGGGGCGGAATTGGGGCGCCTGGTGTAAGGCGCGCTGAAAACGCCGTAAGCGCTTACTGCACTGCTGTGGTCCCCTAAGCCCTAAACCCCAAGCCGAAACCCCCAATGCATAGCAACCCCTCCACCCCCACCCCAGAGGCCCAGTTTGAGCCTACAGTGGAATCCTAAGCCCTTTACACCAAATACCAAACCCCTAAACCCTAAACCCCCAAGAGCCCCCAACTCAAAACCCCAAGACCTCAAATCTCCCAGCCAGAGAAACCTTGACCTCGAAACCGTACACCCTAGAACCATTAAAAACCAAAAACCCTGCAAACAACCTGAAAACCAAATACAAATTTCGACGGCCCGAAGCCCCCAAATCCTAAACCTAAAGCCCTAAAAGCCCTTAAAACCTTAGATGAAAAACCCGAAAAGCCATTTAAAAAAAAATAACAATGAAATAAAAATAAAACACCCCAAAAACCCCTAAAGAACCGCGTCCCCTTAACGGCCTTGCGCGGCCGCCGCCATGTCGTCGACCCCAGGGTCTGGCATGGGAGGCTTCGCAGGCTCACAGGGTGCTCCAACAAAGCTGCAAGAAGGGGGTGTTAGGGTTTCTTGTACCCCTAAACCCCAAACCCTGAACCCTAAACCCTAAACCCGGCCCTAAACCCTGAACCTAAACCCTGAACCTAAACCCTAAACCCTCAACCATAACCCTAAACCCTACAACCCTCAAACCTCATGAGGGAGCTTCCGGGAGCCTCTAGGTCCGGACGCGCCAGCGCACGGCCGAAGGCGAAGACGTCACCACTGCGGCTGAGAGCCACACTGTGGCCACTGCCACAGGCCACCTCAGGTGGGGTTTTATAGGGTTTAGGGTTTAGGGTTTAGGGTTTAGGGTTTAGGGTTTAGGGCCTAGGGCTCAATGGGGCGTTTGTGGCTTTAGGGTCCACAAGTGTGGGGCTTTCAGGATTTAGAGGCTTTGCAGATTTCAGGGGAGTTGCAGGGAGCGTCGGGAATGATAGCACTTTAAGGACAGCATTTACGTCTCATCTTGCAACTGCGACTTTCAGGCTGCTCAGAATTGCCGGTACCATGCGGCGGTCGCCACCCTACCCCGATCCTCTGCAGGCTGAGGCAAACCAGCACAGATTCCGAGTGTCCCCCGGCCTTCGTCAGATGCACCTCGAGACAACCAGCTTGCGCAGCTGGGAGACAAGTTTAGGGTTTAGGGTTGAGGGTTTAGGGTTGAGGGTTGAGGGTTGAGGGTTGAGGGTTGGGGGTTGAGGGTTGAGGGTTGAGGGTTGAGGGTTTAGGGTTTAGGGTCTAGTTGAGAACCGTGCATTCTGTAGCGCAGGACGACTGACGTGGCAGCATGTAGGGAACTTCGGCCCAAAGATCAAAGTTGTCCGAATTCAACACCTCGGTACATACATTGTTCATTCTTGTGATTGTAACTTGTATGGTTGTAAAAGCTAGGACGCAGGAACTACAAATTGACCCTACATTCATCTGCATCATTTGGCTCTATAAGCCAAGTACTACTGGTATAGATACAAGGGAGTGAAACGTAGACAATATTATTACAACTTCAGGCCTTTGGTTACTTTACGGCCGTTGCCTACATTCGCAAGCTCATATATAATTATCTCATTTTTATTTGGAATTTGATTTTTTAATGGTGAAGTTTATGAAAAGACCGTGATGTGAAGGTAAAAATGATGGTATAGTAAATGCTGCACGAATTCATTTACTTTCACGTAGTATCTTCTTCAGTTCGTACTTTTCTCAAGAGGGTCTTTGACTTCATGCCTTTATTAATCTTCATTGACCGCGCACATGCCCCAACTAAATGTTCGGAATACTTGATGCACTCTTGTTCCTTACAGTCGTTCACTCCTAATAATTTTACAAGTGAGTGAAACAAGGAGAATGAACGAACGGACAGAAAGACCAAAATCAAGCAAATAAACGTGAATTCGTTCATGCTTCAAAGGTCATCCTATGAAAGCGTTACTCATAAACTACATTCATATTCTCACAAACTCACTCGCCCGAGTAGTAAATGCATGATTTGTTTTTAAAGGAGTTCTTTGGGCGAGCACTAAAATCAGAGAATAAGTCAAGCCTGACAAAAAAACTCTTCAAGCAACTGCAAGCGAAGCGCGGACCACAGCGCCATCACCGGCGTTGCGCGCGTGAGTGCGGCGGGGCACTCGGCGTTGGGTATCCGGAAGAACTCTGCGCACTGTGACACCTCAGGCACACTTATGATCCGCTCGGCAACCGCGCGCTCATGTCGTGCCTTTCATGCCTAAGCAAGGAGATGCCGGAACCGACAGTGCCCCCCTGAACCCTGAACCCTGAACCCTGAACCCTGAACCCTGAACCCTGAACCCTGAACCCTAAACCCTAAACCCTAAACCCTAAACCCTAAACCCTAAACCCTGAACCCTAGACAACGTGCCAGCCCCGGAGCGCCTCATGGCTGAGCTGGTCGGAGCAGGCGACCTCGGACTTGGCAATGCGCAAGCCCATTTGGGGTTTAGGTCGGGATGCTCCCCGCTATACTAGCAGTCCTTAATTAGAGGGTACTATAAATCCCTGTAAGGACTGTTAGTATGAGGGCAGGGTTTTGGGTTTAGGGTTTAGGGTTTCGGGCTTAGGGTTTAGGATCCTTGTCTTCGACTCTTGGCGGAGTCCGCGCAGAACCCCCGAACCAAGTACTAGACACCTCGACCCCAAACCCCTGACTTCGGCTCCTCCCATACTCCTACCGCCTGGGGGGGGAGGAGGGGGGGGAGCCCCTAAACCCTAGTATCCCAGTGAGCCTTAAACCCCTGAGTCCATCGGATTCAGTGGCTAACACATAATAAGAAAGGAATGTAAACCCTGAACCCTGAACCCTCAACCCCCCCCCCCCACCTTCCCAGCCAAGAGGCCCCTCCAGCGCAGGGATCCCCGAGGGCCCAGGGCCGGCCCGAGCTATCGAGCAGGAGGAGGTGGTCCTGGAAACTTTTTCGGGGTTCAGGGTTGAGGGTTGAGGGTTTCGGGTTTCGCGTTTCGCGTTTCTCGTTGGGATGCTCCCCATTATACTAACAGTCCTGAATGGGGATTATAGTCCCCCCCACTATGATCCCGAAGGGCTGTGAGTACAAGGTGGAACATCCCAAGTTTCGGACGTGACCTGCACCCTCCACATGAGTAGCTCTAAATTAGGGTCCCTTTTAGGGGGGGGGGGGTTCTTATTCTAAGGATGGTGTACTATATAGGGGACAAAAAATCACCCACCTACCTCTGGCCCAAAGTAATCTTAGAGAGTACTTTGGGCCAGGGTCTCTCCATGGGTTTGGGGCGCGGCCCGAACGCAGCAGAGCCCCATGGCCCATAACCAACCCAAAGCTGGACCTGGGACTCCGCTGACCTTCGGCCTTGTGGGCCACCTACCAAAAAAAAGAACGAAACGCAGCTGCACCCGGAAAACCCGAAACCTTAAACCGGAGTTACAGGTAAGCCCCTGGCCGCAGAGCTGAAACAGTTAGATCTTGCGGAAACCATGCATCCCCAGTACTCGCGACCCTTAAGCCCTCAACACGCCCCAATGGTCCTTCTCACAGGAACCCCCATTAAACACGTTATTTTGGGATGTTCCCCCTTATACTAAGGGACCTTCGGGGTTATTGAGGGGTTATTTCGGGGGTATATACAGACTATATAAGGTATATATATATATATATATATATAAGGGAATAAGATTAAGGGTCCCTTCTAGAAATCCCCCCCGCACCCCCGCCAACAAAAAGACAAAAACCTCAACTCCATAAACCCCCCCAGTACCCAGACGGGAGTCCTTGCCGCAGGCAACCGACACGATCCGCACTGTTGGATCCGGCAAGGAGCCTTGGCTGGCCCCTCTTTTATACACCCAGATTTAAGATCTCGGGCTTGGGGCTTTGGGTTTGCTAACTAAGAATGATAAGAGCGGCAGTCAAGGGACAAACCTGCAGACCACCCAAAAGACTCCTAATGTCACTGAACACTTGGCAGGCACCTAGCCCTAAGCGGCTAGCGGCTAGCTTTCCCGATACAATTCTCTTGCCCAACACGCCCGAAAGGGAAAACACAAAGTCTTAGGGCAGTTAAAAGGGTCCCATATATCAAACCCAAGCCCCCATACTTCAGAACCCTAGCCTTTAAAGAAGGCCAGGGACTGTAATAACCCTAAACCCTGGGCCCAGACTTCAGAACCCTTTAAAGAAGGACAGGGACCGTATAACCCTAAACCCTAAACCCTAAGCCATATACCCTCCAAAAAACCTAAGGGACCAAAATTAAGGGACCATGCAACTACTCTAAACCCTGAACCCTAAACCCTAACCCCTAACCCGTAAACCCAAAACCCTAGACCTAGACTTCCAGCGCGCAGGAGCCGTGTGGGCTCAGCAGCATCGTCTCGGCCGACACGCCTCGGCTGCAGCGCGGGGCTTCTGAAGGTCTACCTTGGGTTTTGAGGCTTTGGGGTTTGGGGTAAATGGGCTTTGGGTTTTGGGTTTTGGGTTTTGGGTTTTGGTTTTTGGGTTTTGGGTTTTGAGGTTTTGGGCTTTGGGTTTTGGGTTTTGAGGTTTTGGGCTTTGGGTTTTGGGTTTTGGGCTTTGGGTTTTGGGTTTTGGGTTTTGGGTTTTGGGTTTTTGTGATGGCTCCTTTGAGAGGCCCTATTGGTAGCACAGAGGTGTACAGGGACCCTTAGAACAACAGCAGGCTCTGGCACGCTAGGGTGCCGCCCCTCCCTGGGTCTTCAGCAGCGCCGAGTGGCTGAACTGCGGGCAGGAGTTGCCAAAGGCAACGGGTGAGGTGCCAGCACCGGCAAAAAGCCGTCCGACCTCATCCGCGCCACCTGCTCTGAGGGCTTGCCTGTAACACCAAACACCCTACAAGTTGTTGTACAGCCTGAGTATAGTAACACAGTTAGTCCACGCGTAAACGAGCGGTATGGTTGAGATGGCGATGTCGCGGTCTTGCAGAGCATGCCCGGATTCAGGGGACGTTGAAGGTGTTGGTTTAGGGTTTCGGGTTTGAGGTTTAGAATTTAGGGTTTAGGGTTTAGGGCTTAGGGCTTAGGGTTTAGGGTTTAGGGTTTAGGGTTTAGGGTTTAGGGTTTAGGGTTTAGGGTTTAGGGTTTAGGGTTTAGGGTTTAGGGAGGCCTTCAGCAGGCCTCGCCCTGCAAATGAGGGGGGGAGGATAGGCGACGGATTTGCAGAGTTGAGGGGTTGCAGAAGCTTAGTTGTCCAGTAGCCTCGGAGAACTAAAGGCTAACCTTTGGGATTGTATAGAGATTATTATACCCCCAAAAGGTTAAAGGTTACCTACTCTACTACTACGGAAATTACACACAACCCAAGAGCTCGGGACCACTAGAGTTCCGTAGGTTCCTCAGTCATGCCGTGCCGACTCTGCTCTCAGCTAAAAACCTCGGCGCAACGTCTCAGGTTATGCAGGTCTTGGGGAAGAAAAAAACACATGAGGGTTGCATGCGTGGGAGTGGGGCTTAGAGTTCTTGGTTGTGCCAGGCCCTGCTTCGGATCGCCATAGATCCTGCCTGCAACTCCAAGCCCTGTTAAAAGAATTAAAGTTGCAACCGCCACAAAATGTAGGGTACAACCTCCGAAAAATAGAACTGTAGGAAAGTAAAACCCCAGGACAAAACCGAAGGCTCTGCGGAATAGTCGAGAACCAAATATGGACCTTCGGTGCTGCATGCAGATCAACCTCCACCAGTACACTTCCGCCCTCGCCTGCGAAGGACCAGTCGAGGAACTGGTGGCCTACTCGTGGCCGAGGCACTCTGCTTCGGCAGGATCAAGGGTACATGGGGGGCTGTTCCTTCTTCGAGTGCCGCTGCCCGTTCTCATCCGTTATAAGTTTCTGCTGAGTATGCAAGACCGATCCGGATTTCCCTTATTGGGTCTAAGAGGATCATATTTAGGCCCTAAACCCTAAACCCTAAACCCTGAACCCGGAATATTTTCAGAGGGTCTTCAGGGCCATCCTGGAAAGTTGACGGCCCAGCTTCGCCCGAGGACAGGGGGGGCCTGCGCCCCGCGCCAGCACCACCGGCTGTGAGGAGACGCCCATCGTGGGACAGAGCAAGGTGTCCTGTTGGCCGCTTTGCGGGCTTTTTGGGGTTTGGTTTCGGGTTTCGGGTTTAGGGTTTCGGGTTTAGGGTTTAGGGTTTAGGGTTTAGGGTTCAGGGTTCAGGGTTCAGGGTTTAGGGTTTAGGGCCTTAGGGCTTCTAGGGTTTGGGGCTCGGGACCTGGGAACTTACTGTGAGATGAATTTAGGGTTTGTAGGGCTTCGGCATTTTGGGTGTCGGCTGGGAGAAGAAAACCCCCTTTTTTGGCCTAATTCGGTAACAAGACAAATGTCCCAAAAGCCATGTCTGTAACATCCTCCATGACGTAGAAGATGAACCTATGCTTTGGTCCTTCTCTTAAAATTGTCAGGCAATAATTCCCATTTTTCGCAACGGATTCTTGCTCATCGCTGCAGGATGCGATTGTCAGGCGAAGTCGACCTAACCCGAAACAGGAAACCATACTACCAAGCGTTGAACCCCTGTGGGATATGGAGTCCTATCCGCCCCCCGGTATGCAAAAAAAAAAACAAGGGCCCAAAATGACCATCAATTCGGGTTTTCAGATTTGGGGCAAGGGGGCCTCGTTTTGCGTAGGGTGTGCACAGTTAAGGTGGGGGGGGGGGGGAACTCCGAGCTCAGGGTAGTATAGAATCCAAGCCCAAAATCCTAAGCCCTAGATCCGAAACCCTAAGGTGGAGATAGCATAGGCTCCCAAAAATCTACTATTTTGCTTAAGCACCCCCAGAAAATTGAAGAGAATCATCCCTGCCTTAGCCTTGTCAGGAAGAATATTTGCTATTTTTTTTTGGGGGGGGGGGGGTTCTTAAGCAAGAAGCAGTAATGCGGGCGAAGCCGCCATCTTCTCCCTGAGCCGCATGCGTCGGAGCGCGGCCAGCGAGGACCCCGCGTGTTTCCGGCACGACTCCTGGATTTTCAGGATGTGGGCTTTCATACTAGGATTTAGAGGGTTTGGGGTTTAAGGGGTTTAAGGGATTTAAGGGGTTTAAGGTGTTTAGGGTTTATATAAGGGTTTAAGGTGTTTAAGGTGTTTACGGTGCTAGGGGCCCAGGAATTCTTAGGCATTGGGGCTCGGGCTTGTTTAGGAGATTGCGGATTTTTAGAAGGTTTAGCGGTTTAGCTGCAAAGGTTTAAGCACTTTAGGGGGCCTTGTCTGTCTCTCGGGGTCGGTTTCAGCGACTTCAGGCCCTTGGTAGTTTCCCAGCCAACACGAACCTGAAACCCCACTACCGCCGGAAACCCTGAACCTCCCAAACCCCAAAGGGCCCTCAAAAGCCTTAATCCAAAAGCCACAAAAGTCCAAAGCCCTAAAAAGAACCCACAAAGCCTCAAAGCCTGAAGCCCAAACGGACGAGATGCCAGCTTCTCTCGCAGTCGGCCCCGCCGCAGCGTCGTGGGGGTGCCCTTCTTCGGAGGCTTTGTTGGCTTTGAGGGTTTAGGGTTTAGGGTTTAGGGTTTCGGGTTTAGAGTTTAGGGGTTTCCTTTTGGTGGGCTTGGGCATGAGGATTAAGGGTTGCAGGTTGGAGTTTTCCGCGACGAAAAAGCTGTTTTCCTCACAATGCTGATCTTCATGCCCCAATATCCTAATACCCCAATGTCCTAAGCCTTAACATTTAAACTTTAAACTCAACCAGCAAACACTCACACAGGGCAGAGCATGCATACCTGTGTCGCGTGTGGGAGTGCTTGCGCAAAGGCGTCACAGGCAGAATCCTGCTGTCAGAAGTCCTTTGATGCTGCTGATGTCCACCCTAAACCCTAAACCCTAAACCCTAAACCCTAAACCCGAAACCCTAAACCCCCTATTGCAAACCGACTAGAAACACAGGGTTCCGGTTCCGTACCATTCGAATCCCATCTGGCTCCGAAGGCTCCCAAAAACGCCTGGCGTCCGAACTTTATCCTTTTCAAGGGTTTAGGGTTTAGGGTTTAGGGTTTAGGGTTTAGGGTTTAGGGTTTAAGGTTATTGGCTTACGAAGATGCTCAAGCCTTGCTAGATGCAGCAGTAACCCTGCGTTTCCCTTCACAAGTTCTAGTGCCCCGATTGCCACCGCAATTGCCACGACTGGTCATGAAATGCATCACCCCCTACTCTCGGCCGGGGGGGAAACGCCACGGCTCACCACATAGGGTTTTCCGGGGGTTGGGATTTACTCAATCAAGTCTCGACTGGAAGCAGATGGCTTTGAGCTTCCTGTGGGTTTCCAGTCTCCAGCCCTGAACCGAAAGACGAAGCCAATCTTGAACCCAACCCCTCCAAGCCCTAAAACCCAGCGTTTGCAGCAGAGGATTTGCGGCCGAAGCTTCAGGGCTTCAGGGCTTTACCCCAAACCCTAAACCCCAAACCCCAAACCCCAAACCCCAAACCCTAAACCCTAAACCCTACAGTCCAAACCATGAACGCCTCCTCCATGCGGTCTGCGGCCGCAATCATGGTGAAGGCCTGCTATCCCGGTTGCAGCAGGATGTGTCGAAGGTCCCTGAAGCCCCCCCCAACCCTAAACCCTAGTGTAGGAGCCTTAGGGTTTTGGGGTGTATTGTAGTAGAAGTATAAAGGGGCCATGGGGGAATATTATTAGTAATTATTCCGACCCCTATATTAAACCCCAAGATACAACCTTCTTCAGGGTACTTATAATCCTACTTCCAACGAACCATGAACCTCCAAGTACTCCCTCAATCCCTAAAGCCCTAAGCTTTGGGGAGTGGGATGCCAGGGGGAGTTCTGCGGGTTTTTGGGGCTCTCACCATAAAAGTGTTCATCCTTTCTTCGGTTTCCCATGTAAGAAGGGGCTTGGGCACTTAAATCAAGAGGTCAGCGCGCTGGATCTAAGGTATAGGGTTTAGGGCTTAGGGCTTAGGGCTTAGGGCTTGGGGCTTAGGGCTTGGGGCTTGGGTCTTGGGTCTTGGGATTTAGGCTTCAGATCGTAGGGGTATCATTCTCCGGGACCGTGAGGGTGAGGGACTGTATTTAGGATACCTGTTTGGAGTTCAGAATGTGCTCGCTTGACCCAAAACCTTTAACCCCCGAAAGCTCAGGGAGTGATTGACAAAAAGTGCAAACCTAAACGGGACCTGTCGAGGCCAGAGTACAGGAACCAAGAAGGCTACCCTGCTTGTTTCATGAGGTTTATAAAAGAACAAAAGGGATTCAGGGCCCACTGCCTGCAGGGATGCTTTAGGAATTAAAAAGGGCACCCTGCTTGTTTAATGAGGTTCACAAGCGACCCTGAGCCACAAAGAAAAGGGGAATAAGGGCCCACCCAATTATCATCTTCTATTCTTTATTGGGTTTTAAGTACCCTTAGAAATGTAAAATGTTACCCTCCGCTATGACAAAGAAGTGGGTGAAAAGCCGCCTGGATCTTCCTGGACGTCTGCGCGAGGGAGGCCAGGGACGCGGCTTCCAGGCCCGTCACGAAGATCTTTCAACGGGGCTTGCTTGGAGGTTCATGGGCTGTTTAGGGTTTAGGGTTTGGGGTTTAGGGTTTAGGTTTTAGGTTGTAGGGCTGCTTGGAGGTTCATGGGTAGCTGTAAGTAGGTTTTATAAGTACTATACCCAAATTGTGGCTATACTTACCCTACCTCTAACCCCACTTAACCCAGCCCATGAGCCTCCAAGTAGGGACCGGGATCCGGCCGGAATGTTGTGCTTCAGGGTAGTCTGAGCCTCTTAAATCCTCTGGGGCTTCAAGTATTCGAAGAACCGAGTTCTGCAGTCGAACACCAAACCCTTGAGCCCTGTACCCGAAACCTTAACCCTCAACTGTTTGGGTCCCAAGGCTCCCAAGCCTCAATACCTGCCAATGTGCGAACCCTAAACCCTGAACCTTGAGACCGTCCTAAACCGAATAGAGCCTAAATTCCCTACACCCTTAACCCTGAACGCCTTTCACCCAAGCCCTCGGCCCAGGCCGCCTAGAAAATCGGCAAAGTCGCGCGGAAATCGTGTGCCTCGATTCAATACATGTTCGCCTTTCGAAATCTCCTGTCCCTTGTTTCTCACATGATTTCCGAGAACCCTAAACCCTAAACCCCAAACCCTAAACCCTAAACCCTAAACCCTAAACCCTCAACCCTAAGCCCTAAACAAACCTTCTCATCCCAAACGAAAGCTGTCCTGACACCCACACGCATCATACATCCCACCAGCCCTGGGCCCCAAGTCCTAAACTACGAGCTGAAACCCAGAACCCCCAACCCGAAAGCCCTAAACTCCAAACCCGAAAAGGCTGAACAGCCCAAACCGTAAACTAAGTGCCAAAAGGGCTAGATAGCCCCAAACTGAAAGACCCCAACGTGAAACTCTAAGCACTCAATCCTAAATCCAAACGACCTAAGCCCGAAAACCCCAAACTCACAACTCCAAGCTGGGTGGGCCTGCAGTACTAAGTCCTCCGAACATAGGGGGGAAGGGGAAGGGGCCAAGGGTCTCTGGGCTGCTCGCTCTTTAGGGTGTTGAGGGGTTTCAGGTTGAGGGTTTAAGGGTATTTTTGGGGTTGAGGAGTTTGGGATGTAGGGTTCTGGGGTTGAGGGCCTAAGCCCTAAACCCTAACCCTAAACCCTAAACCCTAAGCCCTAGACCCATTTTAAGATCCTTTTTTCTGGCTCTGCAGGTTAAGGATGCAGGCCCCATACCAAAGCTCTGAACCGCTGAGCCCCGTGTCAGGGGAAAACTGCTCTAGGAGTCTGGGGTTTAGGGTTTAGGGTTTAGGGTTTAGGGTTTAGGGTTTAGGGTTTAGGGTTTAGGGTTTAGGGTTTAGGGTTTAGGGTTTAGGGTTTAGGGTTTAGGGTCGTGCAGGGGGCACCCTCTCGCCGCCCCTTGAATCAGAGTTGCCCTTTAAGTTACATGCGCGGCTCAACCCAGCGAGGAGCCAAGATTTCGACGACAAAAAGGCTGTTCTTAGGTTTGTGAAACTTTGCTACGACATCATGCCCACCAAGAAAGCCCAAAAACCCTGAACACAACACTCCCAAGCCAGAACCCTAAACCCGGAACCCTAACCCCCAAACCCTACACCCCGAACCCGGAACCCGAAACTCCTCCGGCAGAAGGGACAGCAGCGGTGGCCCAGGCTTGGGAGATCCTGGAGCTGGGACGTCGTTGGTTAGTGAACTCTCACGGGAGGGTTTAGGGTTTAGGGTTTAGGGTTTAGGGTTTAGGGTTTAGGGTTTAGGGTTTAGGGTTTAGGGTTTAGGGTTTAGGGTTTAGGGTTTAGGGTTTAGGGTTTAGGGTTTAGGGTTTAGGGTTTAGGGTTTAGGGTTGGGCTCCTCTCCGCAACGGCCCGGGCGAAGGCTGCAGGCCGTAACCGCCTAAAGCTTCCCATGTCCAGGGTTTGGGGTTTAGGGTTTGGAGTTTAGGGTTTAGGGTTTAGGGTTTAGGGTTTAGGGTTTAGTGTTTAGGGTTTAGGGTTTAGGGTTTCGGGCTCCAGGTCTTAGCAAGGTTTATCGGGCATGTCGGGCTGATGGGAGGCTGCGAGGCTTGCCTCCACCCCATGAGTAAGGGCTACAGTGAATCCTAAGAAGAGTAGGTAAGTGTTGATGTTCCGGGCTTGGGGGTACTTAGGGCTTCTAAGTTGTTGAGCTTGAGAGGCTTAGGGCTTTAGGGTTAGGCAGCTTCGATGAGGATGCAGGCTTGCGGTTCAGCGTTGCTGAGATTTAGGTTTACGGTTTTCCCCTTGAATCGGGTTCGAGCGATGACTGGAGAGAACATGTTGTAGGTGTTGAGAGCTTCAAACGGGTTTAGGGTTTAGGGTTTAGGGTTGAGGGTTGAGGGTTGAGGGTTGAGGGTTTAGGGTTTAGGGTTTAGGGTTTAGGGTTTAGGGTTTAGGGTTTAGGGTTTAGGGTTTAGGGTTTAGGGTTTAGGGTTTAGGGTTTAGGGTTTAGGGTTTAGGGTTTAGGGTTTAGGGTAGTGTTCAGAGTTGCTACGTACAAGGTTCTGACGCTTGGGGATGTAGCACTTTGGGGCTTCAGGGGCTTGGGTGGTTTTAGGGGCTTTCGGGGTTGGGTGGTTTAGGTAATTAGGGCACGGGGCAAAGCTTTCTGTTGACGAGGTTGGGGTTTTGCATGAAAGCCAGCCGAAACTGGGCCAACTGTTTCTCAGGAAGCACAAGCTCAAGCGCAAGGCACAGGGCAGAACATCTTAAGCATTGATCACTGGAAGTGAGAAACAGCAAGTAGAAAGCTGCAGAGTTCCACATGTCTACCCCAAGTGCAAGAGGGGCCTGAATGATTAGAGTAGTGCTTTGGGGGGTTCTTATAGTGTAATTACAAAAGGATCATAAGGGAATGTTAGTAATTATTCCGACCCCCATGTGAACTTCAGGCCGGAAGTCCCTCCCCAGGGGCCCAAGCGGGAACATGCCGCGGGGGCACGCGCGGAAGAAGCGAGGAAGTCAACCCTGACAGCTGTCTTCAGCTTCTTTCTAGGCTTTGTGTTCAGACACAGGTTCACCTTCTTCCCGTGGCTTTGAGCCATGTGAAGAAGAACTCCTAAACCCTAAACCCCAAACCCTGAACCCTAAACCTCCGAAGCCCAAACAGCCTAAACCCTCGTAGGGGCTCGGGTTTGGAGTGCGAGAGCTTCTGGAACCACAGCCTCCCGTACCCTTCCGTGAAGGAATACTCCTAAACCCTAAACCGGGCTTCGAATCCTCGGAAGTTCTGTCATAGGGTTTAGGATTTAGGGTTTAGGGTTAAGGGTTTAGGGTTGAGGGTTGAGGGTTTAGGGTTTAGGGTTTAGGGTTTAGGGCTTAGGGTTTAGGGACCGGGATGGATTCTAGGCTAGGACGTGGTCCGAAGATGGGTTGGCCAATAAACGACGCCTTGATGACGCGTGCACATGAAGTTGCTTGGGTCTACGCAGGCCTGGGACACTCCTCACAGATTCGTGGCCCAAGGCCAATATGCTCATTTAAGCTCCTCGAACTCCGCCCTGAGCATCCCTGAGCCCTAACCCAACACACTCAAACTCCCAGATTCCTGCTGGTCGCTGGCCTCTTTCTCGTTTCTTGCCACGCCTGAGGCGGATCCTGACCTGCACCAGCGGATTGGGCTTAGAGCTTATAGGGTTCCTCTTCAAGGCCATGTACGAACAAAACCCTCAACTAAGGCGTCACGTTGTGTGGGTTCCGCAAGGACCTGAAAGACCGGGGCCATGGACGGCCCGCCAGACTATGAAAGGGCCCATAGGCTTTTCAGGGGTTGCCACATCGTTCAAAGTAAAGCAAAAAAAGGCTCTTCAACCAGGAGCTCAAGGACCCGCAGCGCTTACACCTTCGGAGAAAGCAAGAACTGAAACCCTAAGCCATTCTAGACCCTACCGTATATAACCCTAGACTGCCCTAGGCCATTGAACCCTGAAAACCCCCCAACCACTAAAAGCCCAAACCCTGGAACCCGATAGCCTGAAACCCAACAACCCTGACGCCCCAAACCCTAAACCCTAAACCCTAAACCCTAAACCCTAAACCCTAAACCCTAAACCCTAAACCCTAAACCCTAAACCCTAAACCCTAAACCCTAAACCCTAAACCCTAAACCCTAAACCCTAAACCCTAAGCCCGAAACAAACCTAAACCCACTGCACCCAAGCACTTTTCGGTGGGACCTCTGCAGGGCGTAGGCGGGCTGGGCTTCGACTCCACAGCCTCGACGTCGCAGGCGAGCCAGGAAGGGGGGGGGGGGGGGGGGGGGGGGTTAGGGTGTTAGGGCTTAGGGTTTAGGGCTTGGGGCATAGGGTTTCGGGTTTAGGGTAGAGGGGGGGAGGGGGGAAGGGGGGGGACGGGGAACTTTTGGGATTTTGTTGGTTTTGGGGTTTGGGGTTTGCAGTTGAGTTCGGGTTTTGGGTTTTGGGGTTTGGGGTCTGGATTCAAAGCATCAAATTCGCTGAAACTTAGGTCTTAGGGTGCAGGTCAGTGCTCAGACGGGCAACGGCAACACGCCTTTTGCGCAGCGCCCACAACCAGCAACCTTCCTGTTCTTTTGAAGGAATGGGCTCTTCCTGCAGTAGTACGGCCGTGAAATCCCCCACGAGCCTTTACATGATTCCTCTAAAACCTTCATAGACACTACCCCCAAAAAACCCATTATAATTAAATATACCCTTTACACTACCCACATGTTCTTGCCGTGCCTTGTGGGACGGGACGGAGGGGGATGGGATGGAGTAGTCAGGATCCAGCTTCTCTTTCTCGAAGAGATCCTGCATCTCGCGAAGCGTCTCCACCACCTCTGACAGCGAGGGTTTAGGGAAGCTTGCTGTAGGTCCCTCCTTATCCAGCTAGAGAGGGCCATCTAACACATGGTAAGAACATTCACGAAGGAGACATCTACCACCACTTCAACTGAGCATGTCTTTGATCACAATCCGCGCGTTGCCTCAGGCCCTCAAGAACTCGATTTCGACCCAAGCGTCAACAAAGGACTTGTTTTCAATCTGTGAGTTCCTCTTGACGTCGTATAAACCAAACGCTCCAGACGAACTTGAATTGAAAATCGAAGATGCACTGAGGCTACCGTTAAACCAATAAACCCTAAACCCTAAACAATCCTGAGCCCTAAACCCTAAGTCCGCCATGAAACCCCAAAGAATGTTCATCGGGAGCTAGCTTGCTTTCAACGAAGCTGGGTCCTTCTACGGTCTAGGAAACCGGAGCTGGCCCAAACCCTAAACCCTGAACCCTACACCCTACACCCCAGACCCTAAACCCTAAACCCTAAACCCTGAACCCTGAACCCTGAACCCTAAACCGTCAGCGTGGGGTGCGGGAGGGAGAGGCGCGGGGGAAAAAGCTCAGGCCGGCCGCCTCTGCCGGAGGCGTCGCTGCCCGCGCCTCGGCCCTGAGTTTGGAAGAGGGATAAGAGCAGCTGCCAAGATTTCAAGAGCAACAAACCATTCAAGTCGGGATGTCCCCCCTTATACTAACAGTCCTTAGTCGGGATTATAGTACCCCCTATTCTGATCCCCATTAAGGACTGCTAGTATAAGGGGGAACGTCCCAACGTTCAAGCATCAAACCCTTAAACCTAAACTCCTGAAGCCCTGAAACCCTCAAGCCTGAGACCCTGAAGCCTCAATCCATAAACGTTAAGTCTTTCTAGGTCTTTCTAGGTAGGCATACCTGCCCCAAGCCCTAAACCCTAAACCCTACACCCTAAACCCTCAAACCATTTACAAGAGCGGACTCACTAGTGGGTAAAAGTTAGCACACTTCCAGCCCATACTCCGGAAACCCTAAACCCTAAACCAGAATCCCTATACCGAAATCCCTAACCTTTTCCCCGAACCCGAAATTCCTTAAATGGATCTGACATTGGGGCTCTGCTGCCTGTCTTGGGCTTTCGGTGTTGGGGGGTGTTGTAATTGGAATTTAGGAGCTTGAAACACCTGAAACACCCTGTTGGGGGCGATGTCGGTGCTTTGGGGAAAAAGAGTCCCCATCCGGGGGCTAAAAAAGATCTAAGTTCCTCCCCCCCCCCCCCCCTCAGGGCTCATATGCTTCGGGGTCGCGGGGTGAGGGGGATGCTTGCTCGCTGGTCTAACCCAGCAAGCTAGAGATCAAGGGGCATCGAAACCCTAAACCTCCAACCCTAAACCCTACGTCCTGAAGCCTAAAGTCTACCCTAACCCTAAACCCTAAACCCCTCAGCAGGATCCTCAACAACCGTACAAAATTTAAAGATTTAAAAATAAGAATGAAGCGAATCCCCAAGGGCCCAACGCCATTCTGGAGCTCCTGTCCGCCTGCCGAAGCTCCGAGACGGCAAGTAATGCCGGCTCACGGGTTTAGGGGCTTTGGGTTTTGGATGGTCTTTGATGGGTCTTGGATGGCCTTGGGGTTCAGGGTTCAGGGTGCGGCAAGCAGTTTTTTTCTTGGATCTGAGCCAGCTGGGCATCACTGCCTAAGTGCTGCGACTAGCATGCTCACGCGCGAAGCGTCACCTGCGAACTTCAGATTTTCCACCAGCCCTCGAGCGGTTGAGAGCCTGAATCCCAAACCCTTAGCCCCCCTAAACCCTAACCTGAAACCAGTTGGTCCCGAAGAAATACACTCCCACAGCCCTAAGCAGAACCCAACAAAACCGGCGACTTTACAGCAAATGCTCCGTAATCCGGGAATTATACAAGAAAGCTAAGGAAAGTATGCTCCCCAATCCTAAAACCCTCAACCCCAAACCCCGAACTGAGGCGCATCGAGCCCTGCGGGAACGAGCTGGAGCCTCGCCCGAGCGCGCGGATGCAGGTCTCTTGGCAGGGCCTGCGTGCTTGGGAGACATGGTGGTGGATTCACCCTCACCCTGAGCTGACAAGCCTAAACCCAGAACCCCGAACGGTCTTGAAGGCCTGGGTTGAGGGTTTGGGGTTTAGGGTTTAGGATTTAGGGTCTAGGGTTTTTGGGTCCTAAACCCAAAAACTTCTCCCTGGACACCCCTCGTCCCCTCATCAGCCAACCAGCCCAGGAGCCCAAGGCCACGAGGGCGGCAGCCAGGGCATAGAAGTCGGGGCCGCGTGCTGGGCCTTTTTCGCGGGCTTCGTGAGTTGCAAGGAGGTTTCTGGGGTTTCGTATAGGACCTTAGACTGCATATGTAAATATACGTATATATCTATATATTTTTATATTTATATTTATACTTATACTTATATTTATATTTATATGTATATCTATATTTATATTTATATTTATATATATCTATTTATTTATGTATTTATTTATTTCATGGTTTATTGTTTATTAATGTATTTACTTGTTTAGTTCTGTATTATTTATTTCTCTATGTACATATTCATTCATTCTTTATGGTTTGCATTCATTCTTTGTATTATAGTTAAAACGATATTTATCTGCATCTTTGTTTATCTATGTTTTTTGTTTTCTACACACAAGAGAAGGGAGAGAGGAGAGAGAGAGAGAGAGAAAGAGCAAGAAAGAAAGAAAGAAAGAAGGAGAAAGAGAGAGAGTGAGAGGACAGAGAGAGGCAGACAGCTTGGGCTTTAGTCAAGGGACTAAAGGAGGGACCCTTATAAGGGACTTGGACCTTAGGGGTTCTTTGGGGGTTATTGACTATATAAGGTATGTATCAGGGTTATACAGAAAGCTAGATAGGGGAAGAAGGCTTGCAGCTTCTAACTACTGTAGGTTTCGAATTCCGGGCTTAGGGCTCCCTGAGTCAGAACCCCAAAGGCATAGCCCTAAACCCGATAAACCATGTACAAATGTAAACTGGGTTTAGGGTTGGAGGTTTTGGGTTTAGGGTTTAGGGTTTCGGGTTTAGGGTTTAGGGTTTAGGGTTTAGGGTTTAGGGTTTAGGGTTTAGGGTTTAGGGTTTAGGGTTTAGGGTTTAGGGTTTAGGGTTTAGGGTTTAGGGTTTCGTGTTTAGGGTTTAGGGTTTAGGGTTTAGGGTGGGCCGGTCCTGGGCATCTGCTGAATCGAAGTCAGAGAGGCGAGCTTCCTGGCTGCACGCTAGTCCTGATGTCCTTGGGGCCCGGTCCTTGCAGACCACCTTCCACGAACGAGCCCCAAACCCACAATTTTTCCAAAATTACCCCAAAGTCCCCAAAATCCGAGAAGTCCCCTCCCCGAAGTTAGAGGTACCTTATTGGTGTCCCTATTTTAAGGGAATCCTACTATTTTAGGGGGGGGGGGGCTATTTTAGGGGTCCCCTATTTTCGTAAACCCCCAAATCCCACACCCTGAGCCCCATAATCCCCTGACATCTAAATCCCAAACCCTAAACCCTAAACCCTAAACTGGAGCGAGCCGCGGGCGCTGCGATAAGCAGCGGCGAGCGATACCGCGTGGCGACAGCCCCGCGGACGAGCCCGAGCCTTAGCCTGGCGAGGGCTCGGGGCCGTTGCGCGCGGTGAGCGCGGCCCACACCTAGAAGGGTTTAACCCGCGTGCCAGCGTCAGTCTGGCTCCAAAGAGAATTACCCTAAACCTTAGGTTTTTAGTGACCCCGCACTGGTGCCACCTCCCCTAAGGGTCTGGGCCCAAAACAGCCCAAAAATGGTTTCATGATCCGGAAGAGCTCAAAAAGCCCAGAAATGGTCCGGGAGGTCAGGGAAGAGCTCAAAAAGGCTCAGAAATGGCCCAAAAAAAGGCTCAGAAATGGTCCAGGAAGAGCTGAAAAAGCCCAGAAATGGTCCGGGAAGAGCCCAAAAAAGGCTCAGAAACGGTTCGGGAGGAGCCCAAAGCTGCTCAGAAATGGTCCGGGAGGAGCCCAGAAAGGCTCAGAGCTGGGGCCCCCCTAAGCTCTCCCCAGTCGTAGCAGGACCAAAAATGAAAGGGAGCCCAAGGCATAAACCTATGGGTCTTGTAAGCCCGGTATAAGCATCATAATTTGGAAACACCGGGCAAAAAAAAACCTAGACCCGCAGGCGGCCCGTAGCGCCCCCTCCCACTACTGTACTTACACACGACATTATAAAACCCTAAACCCGCCCAAGGTTGAGATGTGGGTGGGTGGGTTGGGAGAGCGCGTTGAACCTGGGCGCACACCACAACACACGTCCCGCGTGGTGGTGTGCGCGGAACCTTAGCAAACCCTAAACCCTAAACCCCTCAACCTGAACTCAGGCTCACACCAAGCTCGTCCGCAAGCGGCACCCGGGGCTCCTAGGGCCACGCGACAACCGTGGATTTCAGGGTTTAGGGTTTAGGGCTTAGGGTTTAGGGTTTAGGGCTGAGGGTTTTCGGGCTTACGCCATGCCCCCGAACCCTGAAATCCTGTATCCTGGTTGTGCCCCAAGCCCTAAACCCGAAACCCCGAAAGCCTGAAACCCCCCAAAACCCCGAAACCCTAAACCCTAAACTTCCCTAAACCCTCCATCATCATCGCCTGCTTGGCTTCCCTCTCGGGTAGCTCGCAAGGGATGGGGCTGGCTGCGGCTTGCCGCCTGCCAGTTGGGGATTCGGGCTTAAGGTTCAGGGTTTAGGGTTTAGGGTTTAGGGTTCAGGGTTCAGGGTTCAGGGTTCAGGGTTGAGGGTTGAGGGTTGAGGGTTGAGGGTTGAGGGTTGAGGGTTTAGGGTTTAGGGTTTAGGGTTTAGGGTTTAGGGTTCAGCATCTCTGGTCCAAGCATTCACTAAGGGTTTCTGTCATCACCCTACGTGTTTGGCATCACCCCTCCCTCCCAGATCCCTCTTCATCTGAATTACATATCTTCTTTCTTACTTTAGTTGATCATTTAGCTCGCAACATTCTTTCTCAGTCAATTCGGCACACGGATAATACACAGCCGCGTCGGTTTTCTGGGTTTTTTGACCAAAACCGAGCCTTCACCGGTTTCAAAAATTTCCAATTTTTCAAGGTTTTTCAAGGTTTTTCAATGTTTTTTAAGGTTTTTCAATGTTTTTCAGGGTTTTTAAGCTCAGTTCTGATGAAGGGCCGCCTTAGCGGGATTTAAGAGGGGGGGATGTTGTTCAAAAGTCATGGACAATTGTGGCCAAAAACAACACCTCATCCCTCTTTAGACTCCAGCTTTCTCGGCAAAAAAAAACCAATTGGGAAGTTCTTTTTACATCAGAGAACCCACATTTTGTGGCAAAAAAAGACCCTGAAATTGCACTTACTTCCTAGAAATTCCGGCGGCAAAAATTATAAAGCTCGAAATGATTGAGGAAGGGGGCAGCCTCAGAAAGGGGCATAGCGTGTTCTAAGTGCCTTGAACTAAACTTCCGGATTATGTCCAAACACTGACTGCACATGAACAAAGTAGTATTCGTTTTCGCGAAAAGTTCAATGCTTTGAGCAACATTTGGTTCTTCTGAACATTCATTGGCAGCAAAAGGTTCAATGCAGCTAGCTGCTAGATACAGTTTTAGGAACAAGATTACCCTAACTAGCTAATGCAAACTTCTACTTCCACCTGTAGCTAGGCTTTGTAATTAACTTGCACATGTAGCTAGGCTGTGTAGTTAAATTGTAACTACGTCGGTGATTCGGACAATGATTTTGCGATGTGTGACCCAATCCGACTGCAGCTGTGGCGGCGATCATCCTGAGCACGTCCCTGGGCTGACTGAGACAGATTGTGTTGCTAAAGCAAAAATAACGGCATTCGTTTTGGCTTGGTTTCGGGTGTTAGTCATTGGCCTTAAAGGCAGCTGTAGCTCCTCAATGATGAGACGCGACCGGTTGCGATCTGTTGTTTGTGCATTGCGGCTTGATAAAGACATCTTAGGTTGGTGGTCTGGTGCCGAACCGTGTTCCAGGTAGACGGAGGCTCGTCAGAAAACCATGGAATGGAGATCTGGTTCTGTTTGTTTCGGCACAAGCTTTTAGGGAAGCTCGCTAGACACAGTTGCGACCGGAATTTCGCTCAAATCTCGATGATTGCCGTAGTATTTATGACAAATTTAATTAAAAAAACACAGAACGCAACAGGTTGCGACCTGTACCCTCCCCCAAACACAAATTCCAATGACTCTTGCGCATTACATTAATTATATATGCAAAAGCATAGATCGCAACCGGTTGCGACCCGTAGCTTCTCCCAAGCCACAAACGCAAAGTACCCTTCTAGATGCTGCGAAAACACAGATCGCAACCGGTTGCGACCTGTAGCTGTGGCAATGACACTGAATCTCATTCCAGGTTTTCTCTCAGGGCGTGCATCTGCTGAAGTGATATCAGACACGACCGGTTGCGATCTGTTGCTTGTGCACCGCGGCTTGATAAATTTAAAGTCATGTCAGGTTGGTGCTGCAGAAGCGAGTTCCAGGCAAAT